GTCCTCTCTAACCAGAAAATTAGCTGATTCTTCCCGAGTCACTGTTTCAGTCTGCCGCGGAGCATCAGAAGTATCAGCAATTTCATGAACGTTGGCTTTGGTGTCAGATAGACGTTCTCCATGATCGTCTGCTTCGTCTTCTCTTTTCTCGTTGTCTTCAATGGTTCCCTCGTCATCAGATGCAAGCAATGGCTCGAATTCAACTTCCTTCTTTGTGTCCCCATTATCTCCAATGACTTGAATAACTTCGACATCGAACGGTTCCTCGTCTTCCAGCTCCGAGGTAATCTTCTGCTCTTCAGTTTCTTCAGCCTTCTGCTTGTCCACTTCTGCGTCAGAAATTTCTGTGGACTCGAGAGCAGCTCCTTCGTCGTCAGGGCTCTCTTCGATGTAGTCCTTGTCCGATGCCAAAGCTGCTTCATCCACTAGATCATCACCTTCATTCACGTCTTTTTCGATGCTGGTACGAGATGCCGCTTTCGCCGGTGAGGTTGCTCTGTTTACATCTTCGACAACGCCAGAGCTATCCTGATGAAGCTCAAGTAGCTTCCTTTCTTCATTTTCCAATTCCAAGACGTCGTTCATATCTGTGGTTCTTGATTCAACTTCAAAATCCTCCTCCTCTGGATATTCCAGCCTGTTTTCATCCTCAGGTGGCAGATCTTTCTCTGGATACTCCCCTTCATCGTCGGTCAAATCTCTGTCTTCATATTCCAGCCTCAAGTCTTCAGAAATGTTTGGATGGTCGGGTACTTCATCTGGCCTATCAACATCCACCTTCGCATCGTTTTCTACGTTCATTACTTCGTAACTTAGTTGAACGTTCTCGTGATGAACTGGAGATCGAGGCTCTACTGAAATCGGTGTTAAGTCGAGGCTGTACTTGGACTCAGCTTCGGTCTCTGAATCGATTGCCAAGTTTCTAGCATCTTCGAAAGGAGCGTCTTCGTCGTTCTCTGCCTTCTTAGTTCTCACCACCTTGGATTGTCTAAAATTTGAAAGCCCCCGCTTCTCTCTTGGTTCAGAATCTGTCTCGGATTCCATGGTCGTCATGGCATCCAAAAATTGCTCCGTGTCACTTGCAGCATCATCAACTTTTTCTTCCTTCCTCGTCGCAGTATCTCCCTCTATTGTCTTGCTGCTGTTCTCTTTAAAGACCCGATCTTCTTCCTCTTTATCCGCCGCAGCCACAGGCTTTGATACTGATTTTCTTACTGACATGGGGGACTTGCCGCTTAGGCTGACTGTGCTTTCCTTCGAGCTCTGCTGTGATCCTCCCAGAAAAGTGACAAATGGAAACGGCTTGCTGGATGGGTCGCTCTCTACGGCCATGTTCGTCAAGGGAGTGGTGGCGCTTTCAGATAGGCCATCGACACTAGAGACGCTTATAGTTGAGTATCGCGCCCTGTTAAATACCATGTTAAAATTCTCATAGATCGAAGATGAAGGCGAGATACCTCGGGTGCTGAAACTGGACAGGGGGAGGCCTCGAGTCTTTTACCTCCCCTTCCTTCCGACGTCGAGGTTTCTTCACATGCAAACGCAAAAATGTTTCAAAACTTCGAGATTTCCATAAAATACTTACTTTGCTTCTTCGAGCTTTTTTGTCTTGTTGTGCCTTCTCCGCTTTCATAATTTCGGAGCTCGCCCATTCCATCTTAAAAAACGATGGATCCGTGTACCGCTTCAGGCAAGCTCCAACACCACCGACATCAAACCTGGAAGACGAAGAAGAGATCGTGCGTCAAATTCTAATTTATACCGAGTCACGAAGTCTAGATCTGATTTGCATACTTGTCCAAGAGAAAAAGCCTCGGAGGACCCCGACATTCCTCGTAAGAACTCCTGATAAAGCGAGGCAAGTCGCCTTGCGTGCAAAGGTTTTGATCGTTTCGAATGCTTGCATGCCACTCAAGACCTGCCAATCCAATCCAGTTTCCACCTTTCGAGCTTTAGAAAACAAAAGGAGAGAACTCGGGAGTACCTGGAGCGTAAGGAAACTGGAGAGGATTCGTCTTTCTAGATAGTATAGCCTTCTCCAACGCAGGCAATTCTCCTTCCAGCTGACTAACACGCACGACGAGGTCATGGCTCCTGGAAGCAGTCGTCATGACGGCTTCATGGAGCTCGTGGAACACATCCGCCGCAAACCTGGAGAGAAAATTCACAAAAAAAGTGGTCAGTCCGAGAAGAGCCGAGAGAAAGAACTCTTACTCTGCTAGATCTCCAAGTTGCCTCACAATGCCGACGAGGCTGACCATGGAGACGCCCTCGAGGATCGCCTCCGGGTCATTTTTCGGTGCCGACCTGTAGAGCTCTCGATTGGCGAGCTCATACTCACTACGGAGCTCATATCTCACTAGCGGCATCGTCTACACCAGCAGCAGCCTCATCAAGATCTATCCCACCGAAATTTCCACCTGAAAGATTCCAATGCGCTGCCGCGCTGCCGCTCACTGGCCAATTCTCGCCAGCTCCAATGCAGCGCTCGCTGTCGCCGACCAGAGTCAGCACCCGTGACGAAAACCTGCACGGACTAGGGCCACTGGAGCGGGCAAAGACGAATTACCGGAAGAGCGCGGCCTGGAATCCACATTTTTCCGCAGCGATCCGGCGAATTGAGGCAGCCGCGGTCGAAATCCATGATCTCTCCAGCGCCTTCTTGAGAGATCGCGCAAGAACTGACGTTCCATGGCGAGAGAAAGACAGAGAGAGATGACACACAGCTGGAGTTAGCTGAAAACCCCCCCACAGTAGGAAGACGGGACGGAATATCCCACGCATGCCGCTAGCAGCCCTAGAATCGACGGCGCAGCGTCGCTGATCGTACGTCAGTCGCGTCAGCTTTTACAAAACAAAACCGCAGAGAATATGCCAAACGTACCAGGAAAACTTAGTACGGAGGAGACTATGATCAAGAACATACACTATTGCCTCGATGGCGACTACCACTGTATGATTGCCAGTCACTAAAAAAATTATACAATACAACCTTGCGAGCGTTCGAAGAAAAAATCTCTCTAGCCAGGCGAGTAGGATTGTGACGTCCATCGGTTGGTTTTATAGCCAAAGAGAGTTTAGAGATCGATCTTTCCTTCCAGCACAGTGTGTTCTTCGCTTAGAAATCGATCAATCTTTTGGAAGAAAACTCCGGCTCCCGGCTTACGATCCAAACGAGCTCCTCCGGACGAGCAAGCAAGTCATGCTTGTGGAGTGTCCCACGACCCCGGAGAGCGTGCACAGCACGTAGTCGGGCTTGTGGAACGTCAGGTTGAGCTGATCGTCGCAAAGCCGGAGATTCGACGCGTCGAGCAAGACGTGCCAGGAGTTCCTCTGCGCTTCCGAGACCCAGTGGAGCGAGTTCCTGGTGCCACCATTCTCCGCCGCCGGGAACGCGAACAATCCCTTCAAGTTTGGGCTCTGCTGCTTGCTCTTCCTCCGGAAGTTTTGGCTGAGCTGCGAGCCGGCTATCCTGAGGTTGAGCCAGTTCGATGGAGCGACGATCACCTTGGCCTCCTTGTACGATGCAAACTCTCGGATCCAGTCCACCTCCTCGCTCAGCACCGTCATGAAGTTCATGTAGCGGCAAAACGGATAGCTCTCCCCGACCATCATCATGGATTCCTTGAGGCTGGATGTGAAAACCACCAGGTAGTCCTCGTCCGTGACCCCGAGATGCCTGAGAAGCGTGTTCCTGGCGTGGATCTCCGGGATGGAGCTCAGGCTGTCGGTGTAAGTGGCGATGGAGGTGGCCTTTTGAGTGAGGATGTCTAGCAGCCGCGATTGCTCCAGAGGCATTTTTTTCACTCCCCATTCTTTTGCCTGGCCGGCGGATGGAGATTTCCTCTTGAACTCGTCCGGGCCTGCTGCTCCTGGAGTGTTTCTGCCGTTCTCGTCAATGTACTCCTGATCTTCTGTCAAGACTGGGAG